TGGTAAAACTGGTATACGGACAATTTTTTCAGTTGCATGTTTAAATGGAAAATCAATTATTAAACATTCGTACTTTAGTGTTTCTGAACAAGAGATCATTCTGACGCCCGGTACATATTTTAAAGTTGTAGGCCAAGTGAACCCGGCCGAAGGACTACACATTATACAATTGAAAGAAATTCAACCGCCATATCTACAGCAACAATTACGGCAAGGTAAGTGCAGAATTAGGTTTTTTTCTCGGACGCTCAATTAAAAACCGAGAATCGCAGAAGACTCGGTTCAAGATTCTCACCCAGTTGCCGCTTCACCTCATTTGGCACATAGCGTCCAATAAACTCGAATGTTTTAACTAGAAAAGAAGCTTCAGACATTTTTGAAGGTCGAGTTATATCTAATAATTTTGAGCAATATTTTATTTGAAAGCCGATTAAACGGAACAAAATGGGCGGATTTCTACCTTTTCAATTACGAAACTAAACGTTTTTTAATTGTAGGCTATACTATTCTGAACATAGGAGTCGCTTGAAAAATCCTTCGAATCCGAAGGATTGTTCCAGAAAACCTTTTCTTTAGCGTCCAATTATACTGAAAACTACGGCTTTCTCTGGAGAACTTACTTCCACTTATTTCTAAAAAAAGCTAAGTAAATCAAAACAAGAACACATTTCAACACTATGAAAGCGACGAAGTTTACGTTAACTGACAGGTGCATGTCAGACTTAGCCTAGGCCAAATTTCTCAGCTAGCATATCTGTTGTAAACTTAAACGTCGATATACGGTTGGGATCTATCTAAAAAATGTATTTTGTATTTTTTGAAAGTTTTTCTTAAATCCTTCAAAGTGTTTTCTCGATTTTTAGTGGTCGGACGTCATCTTTATAGTTGGCAAAATATCAAATTCGTGTTGCTTTTGGCGGCATTTATCGGTGGTATGATTGCAATTGGAATGACATATAGTAAGTAGTAAAGCTTCCATTCTGCAAGAGATTTCGAATTGTTCTTTTAATCGAGGAAAGTGTTATTTTCTAAGCTCGTCTTTCAATGCAGAAAACTGAAGAGCTAAAACACAGTTGGTTTCATGAAAAACACCCTATTTTTATTGGTATAAGTCGATTTGAATTTGTAAAACGTCCATATTTGAACCTAGATACTTTTAGCTATCTATCAGTAAAAGAAATTTCAATTTAGAGCAGGTCATTTACCAAAACAATGTGTTTTCACAAGCAGAATTGATTTTTTTAGAGCTATATTTCGTGTAATAAGTTTCCTCAATTTTTCACAGCTTCCATCAGACTTAAAATTATACCAAAATGTTCGTCGGCATGTGCTGCATCTATACTGAATGTAGTTTTATGCAGCTTTTTCCTAGGCTTGAATATTGGTTTTTCAAAAATCTTGGTAAAATCCATTTTCCCTCAATTTCAGCTCAGAGGGGATTGGGGGACTGGTCCGGTGCGGGGAAACTAAGGGAAACTGCAAGAAAACCGAAGAAAACTGCAATCAGACAAAAGGAAACTAGAGATTCTGAATGAAAATTAAGGAAAACCAAAGCAGGCTAGGAGAAATCCATGGGAAACCACTGTCAGTCCGTTGTCACGTACCCGATCGGGCAATATTGCCTGAACAGGCAACTTGACCGTTCGGGCAAGGTCTGATCTCGGGAACCATCAGTCATCTAATGGACAGGAAGTGTTCATTCTACTCCTCGTGCATTGATTATTCGCCGTATCTTAAAGTTAAATGTTCAACCTTCTTTTTCATTTATGACAAAGACGAATAGCAAACATAGCTCAATTTTGCGCAATTTACTTTGGCCGATTTAGTAATATTGCTCGTTCAGGCCAGATTGACCAGATTGGCGCCATAGCTTTGATTTATACGCTAATCCGTTAAAAGAAAAAAATGTGGAAATCTTGCCGAAACGGGTAAGATACTACTTGCTCGATCGGACGAAAATGAGGCTTCTAGCCTGATCGGGCAAGGCATATTGCCCGTTCCGGCAGTAAACCCCTAGAAGATGATTCTTCCCCACTCTGGCAAAATACACACCTCTCCACTGTGGGTAAGCATCATTTTACGCAGTTTTTGACGCTCTTTCAAGTGGAATACGTCTCTTTATGCGTCATCGCTTTTATTTTTGCGCTGATACGGTGTGAGAAAAAAATGTGAAAATTTGGCCGAAAGGAGCAAGATACTCTTGGCCCG